TCCGTGCGAAACACTCGTGTCCACAACAAGTACACCGCATTGTGGAATATGTCCTCAGCGGTTTTTATCCACGTCGACTAAAGACAATCGCGGTCTTTTTCGACATTGCCAAAGCCTTCGACCGCGTCTGGCACGAAGGCCTTATTTTCAAATTATATAGGATAGGACTCTCCGATCGTCTAGTACGTCTCGTAGCCTCTTACCTACAACATAGTAGCTTTCGGTTTAGACACGAAGGCACGTTATCCTCTCAGCGCCCCATTAAAGCTGGTGTTCCTCAGGGATCAGTACTAGCTCCCCTCCTGTACATCTTGTACACCAACGACATTCCAATCCCGTCGAATGGTGTACAGCTCTCACTCTTCGCAGATGACACTGCTCTATACTTCAAAAGTCCTAGAATATCTTCAGCAAGGAACAAGATCCAAAAGTCAGTCGATGACCTAGGAGATTGGTTCCAAAAATGGCGTATCGATGTGAACCCGGAGAAGAGCTCCGCAGTTCAATTCGATATTAAAAGACGCCGTAATAAAAACAAGAAAAATACTCCACCTATACGAATGCTAGGGACCCCTGTCCCATGGCATATGTCAGCAAAATATTTAGGCGTCACCCTTGACTACAGGCTTACTTTTGAGTCACATGTCAAAAGAGTAACACGTCTAGCTCGTTTATACCTAGGTAGGCTTAACAGTATGTTAGGCCGACATAGCAAAATGTCATTAAGAAATAAGCGAACCCTTTATAAGGTTTGTATACGTCCCGTAATGACTTACGCGGCCCCCGTATTCGCACACGCCGATAATAAAATTATTAACGAACTACAAGTAGTTCAAAACTTATTCTGTCGTCGAGCTACGAACGCACCTTGGTACGTCCGTAATGCCGATCTTCACCGGGATTTAGAAATCCCAACAATTCAGCAATTTACTAAAACTCTCTCTGAAAACTTTTTTAAAGTTTCAGAGTCGCACAATAACTCATTAATTCGTGAGGCAGTAACTTATACCGCCCCACTCCCCTCCCGCTATACCGTCCGCAGGCCGAGAAACACTCTCTCGGACCAGCCAAATAAACTTTCAAGCGACCTGAACTGCCTTCTGGCGGCTCAGGCCAATACTAATTAAAGTAAAAATTATTTAAAATCAATATGCCTTCGTAGGCAGTCCCTAAACGGCACTTAGCCGTCTGCGCCCTCTTTTCCCAAAAGAGGGTCGCTTTAGATATGGCATGTGAAGCTTTCAACAGCTGGTTGCCAGTCCCCAAAGGCAGTTTTTAGAGGGTATCACTTAGGTTCCCCTTGTAGGTAGTGAGTCCCTCATAACCACGTTGGACCGGCCATCGTGGTATGCGTAATGCATTTTCTGCCTCCCTTCGGGGTAGCCCATTTCCAATTGCTTCGGGCGCAAAAAAAAAAAATAAACGCATATATCATTGTGTTTTCACTTCTGCTGGCAGTCGTTATAATTGCCTGTGTTTTTTTCTTCTTATGACATAGGTTAACACTTCAGGGTTCCTATATTATAAATATGGCGAAAAAATTCTTCGCCAAAGGGTGAGAAATTAGTTAATTAAGTGTTTAATGTATCTAGACAGTAGTAGACAACATTCTAGCTGTTATTCGAGCTTATGATATTTCTTAGGCCATCAAAAAGTCAAAATATATTCTTTAAAACGTAAAAGTCCACTTCACGAAATAATTTTAAAACTATTATTATTACAAATTTTAATATGTTAATTTATTTGTTAGAACCATTATTGTTAGGTTTTAAGTTGGTTATTACTTTTTTTTTTCAGTTTAATTATTGTATTTTTATAGCTTACTAGCTGGCACCCAGCGTATTACCGCCGCAGAAAAAAAATTGTGGAAAGGAAGGGTTATATTGTTTAACTAGCTGTGCCCGCGGCGTAGCTCGCGTATATAGATTTTACATAAAGAATTTGTCGTTTAGGTAAGAGAATATTAAACGATTTATATCATTACTGTATCAATAAGTGGTAACAAATAAATCATTATCATCAAAGTTCTAAGTAGTTTATGATAGAGCTTCGGTGTAAACGACGTTAGAAGTAGGCTTAGCCGGGGTGTACACAAAAAGGTTACGGGGGCTACTAACGCGGGAAAAAGCAACATAGAGTTGGCCATGTGCAAAACAGTCCGTACTGAGCTCCACTCTTACAACGCGTAAATTTTGACCTTGCACTTTATTTACGGTCATCGCATAACACACGCTGACTGTAACTGGGAACTGAACGCGCTTAAAACTGAAGGGAAAGTTACTTCTTAATAGAGGGTTTTTTGGCAGTACTGCCAGATCAAAAAAACTCATTCAGCGCTAGGACAACACAAAAAGCGCTAGATTTCATGAAAACAGCGCTTTAAAAAAGCCCTAGATTTCGCGCTAAATTAACTACAAACAAAGTTTGTGTTTTTTATTATAATTTATAATTCAAGAAAATATAATCATAATAAAGAAAACAACATTAAGTTTTTTTCTGGCAATATTTTTTGATGTATCAATACTTCGCAGGACATCGACTTATAATTATGGCAATTGCTGTCAACAGTAGTTAGTACTACTCTAAGTAACTTTTAACTTAGCTGTGCTCTAAACAACTGACTAAAACTGAATAAAGCAAAATAAATGCGTTGCCAAAACCATGAACGAAAACTTTAATGAAGGGGATTTCCCTGCTTATAGTCGTCGATAAGAAAAATCAAGTTGATCATCCTAAAGGGGAAGCCGGGAGATCCATAGCACAGGGTATCCTAGTTTGGACTCGTCTCCCATGCTCTTTGTTTCGTGGAAAAAATATGTTTGCAAAAGATAAACTGCAATGTACTATTTGTGGAAAAAAAATAATAAAGGTCATTATTATTATTATCGGTAATGTGGACTAACAGTGCTGCTATAAAAGAGTTAATAACCCGCTAGTCGCTACAATTTAGAAATTTGTGCTAAATACACCAAAAAGCGCTGGATTAAGTGCTAGGTGCTAAAATTTCGAAATGCGCGCTATACATTCCAAAAAAGCGCTAAATCTAGTTCCCAAAGCGCTAAAATGGCAGTACTGATTTTGCGTATATTATAAATACAATATCACGACATTTCGTTGCAATTTTGTTATTTTTGTTCGGGTTCCGTTGTATGGCTTCGATAGATACTAATTTCTTCAGTAAGTCTCAATACGATTCATCGGCGAAAAATCTCAACACAGCAAATTAGAAAAGTTTGTAATTTGTATAACTCCATCTATTACGTCCTTTGTGTGAGAAAACATCCATTTTTAAATCTCTTTTATGTTTTAAGTATAAATATATTAATTATTATGGAACGTTTTTTTTACACACAAATCTTTTTATTACTATTTCTGAGATTTTTATGGCGCCATTGAACAAATTCGAACCTACATTTTAAAATAATAATCATTACTTTCGATAGAATTAACCAATTTTAATAAAACAAAGATTAAATGTAACTTGAAGATACGCTTTATGATTTTCTTAACGATTTCTTTGAAAAAAAAAAGACGTTTACTTTAGACGTGATGCATTCATATAAAAACAGACAAACAGACAGACAGACAATTCTAAAAATTATAAAAATGTACTTATTTAATTCTTTTTAGTTCCCCATAATGATTTTAGTCACCAAAATAAATATACAATGTACAGAAAGAGACACAACATGTTATCATCATTTTTATTATATGTATATATTTAATTGAAGAGAGATGGCGCTGCTAACATCAACTTGATGACTCAAACAAAGCCACCGTTGAGCAAATTCCCTACCCATACTTCAGAATATTTATCATAACTTTTGATGGAATGAACCGATTTTAATGAAATAAAGACTAAATGTAACCCGAAGATACACTTTATAATTTCCTTAACAATTCTTATGATATAAATTAGTACTTTAAACGTGATACGTTAACAAACAAACAGACAGACAGACAGACAGACAGAAAATTCTAAAAATGGTAGAAATGTATTTAATTACTTATTTTTAGTACCCCTCAATCACTTTTATTACAAAAATATAAAATGTACAGACATCTGCTATTTACAGTTTTATTATATGTATAGATTATAATCTTCGCTATACCTATAAACTTCTCGCAAGTGCAAGCAATAAGTTGACAAAGTTTTAACGCAATCTGATGAACGGTATGGCAATTAAATACGAATAAACAAAAATTAATTTTTATATATTAGATTAAATTGTTAACTATATATATTTTATTTCCACACTCATATTTACAGCGTGTAGCCTATATTTTATCTACACTATTTTAAAAAGAAAGCGAAATGCAATAATACACAATTGTTGTATTAAAAACGCCATTGAGAAAATCAAACAGTTATCCAGTGTTACCAGACTAAAATATAAAATAAAGATGGTGCTACATATACCAGGTACCTCCCAAAAAGCAAGAAGCGTTCCGTGACAAGTTCAAGAAATAAAAGAAACCCGCCGGGAAACGTGATATGATTGTAGGATTGCCATTGTTGAATATTTCGTTGGTTTGAAAGCGTTCGGGTCGGTGTTATTTTTGTAGTCATAAATTTATAATATAGTACGTAATTATTAAAATTTAAATAAAGCTAGTTGTTAAATAGCAATAAATATATTTAAAAATGTCATCAAATTTTGATGTGAGTTAATTTAAAAAAACAAAAAAATATTGATTTTAGACATTAAGAGCGAAATTATTTTTATCTGAATAAAAATAATTTACTTCAATAATTATCGTGAATGGGACTATTTGGTACTGATTAATAAAACAACTTGATTTCTAATTAAAAAAAAGAGGTTAAAAATATTATAATGAGCAATACGACAACCTAGAAAGTCAACATTCTCAATCCATTTAAATTATCCAAAACCTTGCACCATTACCACTTAAAAGCACCCAATACTCCTACCAATGTGGTAGCTTAAATTTGGCAACCCAACCACTAACAAACCAAAAAAAGAAAACAAAAAACAAACCTCCTATCGCAACGACAGTGCGAGATCGTGAACGGTCTAAAGTTAAAGTAGCCGAAGCGCCTTCTGAAGGCTCCAATGTTGGCGTGGCAGTTGTCGTGGGCCCTACAGCATCTGTCTTCGGCTCTATCGTCGCCTAGCTCGTTGTACCTCTCAGCCAATTGGCCGGCGCCGCACCATTTCGTCCCAGGCATTATGAGATTCTCCCTGAACGATCTTCTAGACCTGTTATTTGGTTTTTCTAATGTTAGTTTGACTTGGGAGCGTTTGGTGATTGGACGGTATGAATGGAGTGCTTAGATTGATGAGTGAAATAGGATTATTAATAGCTCATGCTATGATGCTAATGTATGTAACAGTTACGGTTATTAGAGGTTATATAATATTAATGATATTAATAATGGCTCAACGATTATCAACACGACACTAAAATTGACGACCATAGGACATAGGATATGAATGTATGACGTTTATGACGTCCCCCGTTGTTACTGATACAGTCTTATCGAAAAATTAAACCCTATAATTATAGCAGTTTCGTACAAGTGAATTTTGTAGAGCACGAATAGCGGTAATTACTGATATCTATTGATATAACTTTAATTATTATAGAGTTTAATACGAATAAACAAAACGCACTGATCATTATATGTGATAATCCTAGTTAGAATACAAGGCGATAGTTATGATATTATTATATTGTCCTCGATTCATAATACGTCTAAAAAATTTCAGAATATTCAGACGTCTACAAGAGATTTAAAACTGAATTTCAAAATTCCATTACATATATACATAAATACATACAGATTAAGTAAAGTATGTAACAAGCTTATCTGTTTAAACAGTACATAAAAAACCGGACTGCGTATAAATTTTATTGAAATAAGACCTTCTCCTCCCTTTTTTATCATAGCATGGGTCAATTTTTTAGGACAAGCATTATTTCACAATTTGTCGAGTGTTGGGAAGGAATCCAGCGGTGGAGTATAAGGTTGAAAAATAGAAAAAAAAATTTATAGAAGGGTAATAAAAATACCCGATGCTCTTTTTCTTCTTAATCCATAATTTTCTTGATGCATTTTTGTCAATTTACCAACCAATGTGGCGATTACGTGGTTTGTTGAACAGAGTATCTGACTGTCGAATAGTAGGAGGTTTGGGGCCTGCTGAAGCCTATAATTAAACCAGAAAACCATTTTACCGAGACCGAGGATTCAGTCTTAGTCTTCAAGGACGAGATCGCGTCTACACTTTGATTCTTAATTTGTTTAATTAATGCCCATTTCATCATCATCATCATTACAGCCTTTCATAAGTCCACTGCTGAACATAGGCCTCCCCCAAGGAATGCCACAAAGCACGGTCCTGAGCCACCTGCATCCATCGACTTCCTGCATGCCTTACCAAGTCGTCACTCCATCTCGTGGGGGGGTCACCCTACATTTCGCCTACCGGTACGAGGCTGCCACTCGAGAACCTTTCTTCCCCATCGGTTGTCGGTTCTTCGAGCTATATGGCCGGCCCATTGGCACTTCAGCTTACTAATCCGTTGGGCTATGTCAGTCACTCTGGTTCTACTACGGATATCCTCATCTCTAACTTTATCACGCAGAGAAACACCGAGCGTAGCCGTTTCCATAGCTCGCTCAGCGACCTTGAGCTTCCTCATACGACCAGCAGTGAAGGACGACGTCTCAGTTCCATAAATCATCACTGGCAACACGCACTGGTTGTACAGTCTCGTTTCAAGTTTTGAGGTATACCTGACGAGAAGATGTGCCGAAATTTCACGAACTCTTCAAGTTGGTCTTACCTAGTTACACTTTTTGTCCCAGGTGCATACTCGTAAACAACTTCAAGCTTAGTGCTTCCAGTAACTACCGGCATAGGTGTGACATGGACGTTATACGTGATCTTTGTTTTATCCGTATTTACCTTAACACCTATACGTTGGGAGGCAATATTGAGGTCATTGGGCATAGTGCTTAGGTCCTCCAGCGATTCTGCCATAAGGAATATATCGTCGGCAAATCGAAGGTGAGTGATGTACTCGCCATTGATGTTGATACCGTATCCTTTCCAGTCCAGAAGCTTGAAAACGTCTTCCAATGCAGCGGTGAAGAGTTTCGGGGATATGACGTCACCCTGTCTTACACCTCTCTGCAATTGGATAGGTTTCGTACTCTGGTTCTGTACTCGGATAGCCATCGTAGCCCTACTGTACAAGCACTTCAACACTTCGATATACCGACAGTCAACTTGGCACCGCTGAAGGGACTCCAGCACCGCCCAAATTTCGACGGAATCAAAGGCTTTCTCATAGTCCACATACGCCAGATATAGTGGCAAATTTTACTCTTCGGACTTCTGTACAATTTGCCGAAGGGTATGTATGTGGTCTATGGTGCTAAAGCCCTTTCGGAAACCGGCTTGTTCGGGAGGCTGGAAGTCGTCAAGTCTGCGCGCAAGAAGATTCGTAATTACTCTCGAAAACAGCACGTAGACGCGGCTCAGAAGGGAAATCGGTCTGTAGTTCTTCAAGAGAGCGTTGTCACCTTTCTTGAAGAACAAGACCACCGCACTTCTACTCCACGCCTCCGGTGTAATGCCACCATGGAGGACGGAATTAAAGAGCCTCTGAAGGACTTCAAGTACCGGTTTTCCACCCGCTTTCAGAAGCTCCGCTGTAATTCCATCCTCGCCTGGGGCCTTACCGTTTTTAAGGTGCTGGAGAGCCATTCTAATCTCGCTCAGTATCTCCATTTAGTAGATAATAAAAAAATTAAATACATATCAAAGCATTTTGCTTCTCAAATGACAGCATAGTGCTGCTGTCTTTCGTATATGCGTGAATCGGAGAAAATTGGTTTTAATCAAGGATAGATATAGGTATATCTACGGGCTACAGAATCCATTAACCATTGCGTGGAAGTGTACTCGATTGTCAAACGTCGATACTATTAAAAAAATTCGACGTCCGGCTCGTAGCGTAAGGGTTAGCTCTAGTCTTTATATCGCGGGTCCCTATTTTACATAAGCCCTCAGTCGAATGAAGTTGTAAAACCCAACTGGCTAACATCACAGAAAATAAACAAATAGACGCAAAGACTCAAAGACTATCTATAATATTTTCCTAAAGTGCTGATCGGACATCGGTAGGTTAGATTAAGTATCTCTGAGTAAACTATGGAGTGTAGAGTATAAGAAGAACCATCTTATAAGGGGCGAAAGTTGTAAAAGTGTCCTACTATTTACTGAAAATAGAGGTTCCAAAACCTACCACTATAGCGCTGGCGTCTGAAAAACAAACGATATGAAGATAACTGTTGTAGACGGAGTGAAGTCAACTGAATTCAAATATTTAAAAAAATCATGATTAGAGTAGTTAGTAAAATGCCCAACTATTTACGTAGTACAAAACCAAGCGGATTGGTCGGTCCTTGTTTATTTCTCCATCTTATTCTAATTACTTTTGGTGCTTTTTTTGAATTTATCCTATGCTACTGCAGCGCCACCCTTATTGGACACGTTTTTAGGGACACTTTTCATATACAGAGATGGTCCTCCTTCTCTCTACACTCCATAGAGTAAACGTAAAGCTAATGTTGCCATTCCCTCTAAAATATATGGAATGCTTAATTTCTTTTAAAGGAAAACGTTTTGCTGCTTCGAACAGCTTCACACCGTGGTCAGATTTTATTAAAATCTAGTAGTTTCGCCTATTACATATTCTTATAGACCCCTAATATTAGAACAATACCATATTATAAAGTAAGGTTGGCAACCCTAGTTAGCGCGCGTGTTAGTGGCATTAGAATATTTTTTCCTAAGTTGTTAGCTTACTATAGTTTTAAGAATTTTTCGACCCATTGAAATCCGTCGGAATCACATTGGTACTTAATAAATAAATTATATGCTTAATAGTATTATTCCTATTTCAATTTTTATAAAATATTTGCCGTAATATAAATAATCAATATTATACATATAATACATATGTACTATGATTAAACATAAATACTCGTATACGCAAATTATAATTCGAAATTTAAATGTGTATTCTATTTTTAATTTTTTTATATTTTTATAGTTCTAATTATAAATTAAGATTGCTGGTTAGTCACAGTATGACCATATAAAAGAAAAATTGGAGGTGATGAAAGAGACCATTGCATTGACGTTGCCATTGATAAAGGGTTTGTGATGCATTTCAGAGGGAATGATCTATTTGACAGTGATGAGTACAGATTGAATAAGGTGCAACCATTTTTATCTACACAAGAAAACCAGTTATGTAGTTATATGCTTCCTTTTATTGAATATTTTTGAGGCACTGATATCGTATCTATATTAAATCTTATCTATATTGTTTATATTAACTTCCCATTTGGTTTTCCAAAAGTTCGACTTTAATGAACATTTTATTATTCATTTATTATGTGACTAAGCGTCGAATAAAATTTTAAACAATATCATCATTTCTTCTTTAAAGCTACAGCCTACTACGTACCAATCCTGGGCACAGAACTCCTTTCATTTCTGAGAAGGTTTCAGCAAAGCAAGCTTACGGTTTAAAGTATAAATGTCAAAATAGAGTCTGAGACATTTAACAAGTGTCATCTTATAGTTACCATTACATATTATTAAAAAAAAGAACGCTGGATTTTACAAAGGTACGACTTTTAGAATTAAGAACGAATTTTAGAATTTTAATAAAAAGGTTGAAAAGCGTATAACTTCATAACATAAATAGTTTTGTGCAATTCCCAGACCTCATGAAAAAGATGATAAATGTACTAATTTACCTTATAAGAGTTTGTTCTCCTATTTTGTTTTTATTCGCCATCATATATTTCAATTCTTCATGCCTCTCCAAGCACTCGATTTTTAATCTGTCGTAGTTCAACCATTCAGCTATGTCTGGGGGCAATTGCTCGTTGTCTTTTAATAATGTTAATGTCATGTTTCCAAAATGGCGGTAAAATCTTTCATGCTCGATGTCCGCGTCTTTTTCTAAGATTTTATACGTCTGTTCCTCTAATGCTAATTTTAATTCTTTTCTTAATGTTTTAAGAAAATTTCTTGTGGTCTTCACATCCGCGAGGTACTCGCAGTCTTGGATGACGCCATTTGGTGTGTATATCACTTGAATAAGATGGCGGCCGTCCGTCAGCTGACGAAGTTTTATTCCGCTTCTGTAACAATACAATATAGTTTATAGTTTATGACAATAGGCAACATAAATAAATTAAGTATGCGAATTACAAATGGACGCTCGCAAACTCTTACTCTAAGTTTTTTTTTTAAATTATTATGGCGTTGTATTAATTGTAAAAAAGTTTATCACAACTCTTGTCTATCTTCACCTTTTTTTTTTATAGGATAAGGGTGACAAACGAGCACACAGTCCACCTGATGGTAAGTGGCCGCTGCGGCCCATAGACATCTACGTCTATCCTCTATTACAAATCAATATGTAGATGCGTTGTCACCCGTGAGGACTAAGATGGAATGCCTCATTTCCAGTAAAAAGGGCCTCCGGCCACCTGCACTCACCAAGCGAAACGCAGAGGTAAACCTCTACTTCACGCTGGTTTTCTGTGAGGTCGTGGTACCACCCCGGTTCGAGCCGGCCCATCCGTGTGACAGCAAAAGCTGCCGCGTGGCTCTACCACTGTTAAAATCAGATAACGATAGATTAAGATATGACTGGAAGTATGCATTTAGCCATGTAACCAATGAGTAAAAGTTAAGCTCCGAAATTAAAAAAAAAAGGTGATAATACTCCAATAAAGAACCTTACTGTCAGAGGAAGAAAAATGTAAGCCTATGTCTCCCCCCTATCATATGTAGGCTGTAACTTTTTACTTCTATATTTATTGTACTACCATAAAAGATTATTAATCACTTAACGTAAGTTTTAAAACCTATGTGAATAAAAACTACTTCAATTAAGTAACACTAGTAACATGCTCTGTTTGACAGCCCCATTTAACCATTAACTCCCCAAATGTCAAAATGACACTTTCAATTGTGTGTCATTGTAACAAGCAATAAACATATCGGTTACAGATTCACCCTCTGAAAGTCGGGACGTTTGATTTAGTTAACATAGAGCGAAGTTATGTAAGAGTGGGCCAGTATAGCAGCAATTAGAAATTATAGTTGTTTGTACGAGGAATTACGGTTACATTTATTCAGCGGTGTCGACATTTGTGCAAGTGCTAAGTATTGGTAACTTAAAGTTGTATAGACACAATTAATGTCTTTATTTTTTTTCCTTAAAATTGAAGTGACAAACAAACTTAGAGTCCACTTGATTGTATGTAGCTACTGTAATTCATGGACAACTGCAGCCAACTTCGAACAAAGAAGACTACAGATAACTTCTCACCTAAGGTGGAATGCCTCATAGCTTGTAATTTAACTGATTCTCTATTGCCCAAATACTCAAACGCTGCTAAATTTCAAGATTCCGTTAAGTCTCGTGCTGTCTCTATCACTTTAAGTCAGAGTGACTGTGACATCACGAGACTTAACGACATCTTATTTTTTTTTTAAATATAGAATAAAAGTGACAAACGAGCATGTAGTCCACTTGATGGTAAGTGGTTGCTGTGGCCATAGACATCTACATCAACACTGCTATGGTTCGTATGGTGAGTGTAGAGAACCGGAGACCCTTTTTTAACTAGAAACGAGGCATTCCATCTTAGTCCTCAGGGGTGGCAACGCTTAATCTAGGATAGATGTAGATGTCTATGGGCCACAGCACTCACTCACCATCAGGTGGACTGCGTACTCGTTTGTCACCCTTATTCTATATAAAAATTATGATGATGAAATGTTTTTGAATTTCATTTTGAAATATTTCGTTATAATTAGCTCACGTAGTTCAAAACTGGCCATGCTATGTCTAAAATCTTTTAAGAAATATTCAGAATAGTGGATGGCTCAAACTTTAACACCTTTGAATTTACGTTGCTTTAACCTTAATTGCATAAAGCTATCCTAACTTCCCCTGTACAGATTACGCAGTGGAGTTATAATACCCTGGAGTGCAAACTAATAGATACTCTACTGTCCCCCGTGGCTAATCCACTTTGTGTTATCGTTGGTAATGTATACTGCATAGTTGCAAATAGCGGCGGCTTTTGATGTCGAGCGTAGTCCTTAGTGAAGATGTTAAGTCCAAAACCGGGATCTTTATTTTTTAATAATAAATGATATAATACATGATATATGTATAGATCGACTTTATGCCTGAGGTATTCTTTACCAGTCAACTTTTAGGTTATGCAGGCATAAAATTATTTAGGTGTAGAAGTTGATAACAGATAGACAAATAAATTAGTTACTTAATAACTAAATAGTACATATCTAATACCACGACAACCTATAAAAGTCTACTGCTGAACATAGGACTCCTTCAACGATTTCCTCATGGGGGTATATTTCCATAGTTGCCACGTTTGGTAGGCGGGTTGGCAACCGCAGTTTTTTATTTGAGTTGTTAGCAGGAACATCCTGCGAGGCATTCCATCTTAATCCTCAGGGGTAACAATGCATCTGTAGCCATTTTTATTTGAAGTTAGTTACAGGTATTCATTGGCTGCAGCAGCCTCTTACCGTCACATAGATTGTAAGTTCGTTTGTCATTTCAATTTATTAAAAAAAATATAAAAAGGGTTGCAGGAGAGCAGAATTATGCTTGAAATCTGCTTTCCCGAGCATTCAAATATGTGTTGTTCAGATTACCAGATGGGGAAGGTATTGTTCGTCGAGAGTTTACATTTTAACATTGGTATTGCGTAACGATAGGGTGAAAGGCCAAGTAGCCAATGCTACAATAAGTAAATAAAAACAGGTGATTATTTCTTATATTTACGCGAATACTACACCTCAATGAAGAAAATGCGTGAGTGTCGTGGAACACACGGTTGGAACGAAGTTCCTTGCATATTATATTATTATTGATAAACCTAGGTATTATATTATTGATTAAAAATTACAAATAAATGAATTACTAGCGTCTATTAAAATGAAGCGTCATTTGAAATAAAATAATATTTCTTTCATGGCAACATAAGAAAAAGTGCGAGGGAGATGGATATTATTCCATCTCGCTTCCTTATTTCGCCGCAAAGGCCGTCTACACTATGACATAAGGGGTAGTGACGAAAAAATCTTACACTTTTTGTCGCCTAGCTCCCATCCGCGTACCGTACGATAAAGAACTTCGTTCCAAAAGTTATTGTACGTGGAGCAGAAACGTTACAGCTGACTACAGTTGCTTACAGCAGAAATGATAGGCTCGATTAGAAAGATCCACGCTATCTCAGAATACCAACATAAAGTTGCTGTACTTCGTATGGTGCTTACAGAGAATCGGATACTCTTTTGTAACTCTTTTAAACGTGGTAGAGCCACGCTGCAGCTATATTATGGTTGTAGGACGAATGGGCTCGACCGGAGAAGGACCACGCTCTCATAGAATACCAACGTAAAATAGCAGATTAATGCTGCTGTGTTTCGTATGGTGAGTGTAGAGAAACGGAGGCCCTTTTTACTGGAAACGAGGCATTCCTTTAGGTGCACTGTGTGCTCGGAGGTCACTCTTATTCTATTAAAAAAAGGCAGTAAGCGTATATGATCGCTCGATTACAGATAACAATATTAAGATCAATGTTTCACGCTTCTTTTAGTTGCTATCTGATCAATTTGTTAAATGGTCGCTAGCTAGTATTTGCGTTAATAGTGCGCGTTTCTCTAGATATTTTTTTGAACTAGTCTATTGTACTGAGTAATGTTGAAACGAAAAGTGTTTGTGGAACAATAACAATACTATTTACATTTTTTTTAAATTATTTATGTAATGAAAATTATTTTTGAATTTAAAGAAGTAAAGTGGCAGTGTGCTGGCCATCTGTATGTGTATGACAACTATGGAGATCTTACCCCCTGCCACACTCTCGTCCAGTGTCATGGGAAATAACGGGGAAAGGAGGCAGAAATGTAGTGTGGCAACAATACTCGTCATGCTGCACGTCACGCTCCTGGTCATGCCCTTTTCACTCGCTGTTTTGTCGGTTTTTTGGGCGCGAGTCAAAGGACTGGCAATATGACCGCGAGTGGCTGGCCATATAATCGCGCGAACACATTGGCGATTTGATGATTGAGATGCAGTTCGGTGAGTGTGCGCAGGAATTATACGCTTTAATTCCTCCCTCTCCGTTCTACTATCGGAAAACCAGGCGATCCGGGGGTCTTCACCCTTTTGTTGTCGATATTCCACGCATTAGAACCAAATGGTTTGCTTCGTCTTTTATAATGCGTACAGCAAAGGAGTGGAATAATTTGCTGGTGTCTATCTTTCCGTCCGAATATAATCTGGGCGTCTTCAAGGCAAGAGTGAATAAGCTTTTGTTACGCTAAGACAGTCCAATTTACCATCCAATGTTGCATCATCACTAACGACCCGGTGGGATTGTGGTTAAGCGCTGGCTTATAATAACTAAAAAAAATCGTAGTGAAAATTTAGATTGCACGGTAATACGATACAAGATTTTACCCGAACTTTAAATCATGGAACAGCTTATCTCTGGTATAGTTAATCGTGTATATATCGAGGTTTGTTCGAATCCACCCTTAGTATATTAGTTAGATAACTGTTTACGGTCTAACGACTGTCAGTACATATTTGCTAAAGCGCATTCTATTTAGGCCGCGTGCGTTTAACTTACTTTTAACTTAACGAACTACCGAACGATTAGTGTGCACACAACCAACATTGGAAAGTAGCACTTTTACTTAACTTTTGTACCTAGTTATAACTTTATTTAAAACATATTCTATTACTGCGGTCTTTCTCTTTGCACACAACTAAACCATATAATTATAGGTACTACTACACTACAACTGTAACTATACTACAACTGTACTAACTATAGTGTAACTATAGTGGGCTTCTTTGCTTAATAAGTTTTATTATTTTATTAATTATTTACATATGTATTTATTACTGTTCCGTGAAAGCGTAATACACCGATTCTGTATATAATTACGAACCCCAAAACAATGTTATCATACAATTTTTTTTAACATAAACTATTCTGTGCACGAATGTACTCATCGACACAGTGTAACTATAAATAAGATGTAACCAAATCGCGGTTGTTTAACGAGCCGTGATTGG